TGTGATGGTATGGGGTGCCATTGCCTACAATACACGATCACCCCTAGTTTTGATCCATGGAACCATGACAGCCCAGCGGTATGTCCATGACATCCTGCAACCACATGTTTTGCCACGGCTCCCAGGAGCCATTTTTCAACAAGACAATGCTCGGCCTCACATGGCAAGGGTGTCACAAGACTGTCTCCGCACTGTTACTACCCTTCCTTAGCCTGCCTGATCCCCAGATTTGTCTCCAATCGAGCTTATCTAGGATCCTTTGGGATGGCGAGTTGGGCATCCCACGAGTTTGAACGAATTAGAGGCAAAGTTACAGCAAATATGGAACTAAAAATCTCAAGACATCATACAGAACTTGTATGCCTCAATGTCCGATCGTATTGCATCATGCATTCGCGCTAGAAGGGGTTCAACAGGGCATTAAATCCTCCGTTCTTTTGCCTTTTTCTCTGAAATAAATGATCCTTTTTCTTTGGTTTTCTAATCATTTACTTATATCAAAGTAGTCATTACTTACGTAAAATTTCGTTTCATTTTGACGACTCCTTCTTGGTGCGCTAATTTTTTTTTGTCCATGAGTGTAATTCTAAGGAGGGCAAACAATTTGCCAAGGATTCCAGAATTTGAAGCGGGAACGAATCCGTTGGAATCCTGGAGGCATTGGAAAGAAGATTTTGAAGATTATTTGGAAGCTCTTCGATATAGTGAAGGGCCAGATAAAACAAAAACTACACTATCCCGTCATTTATACGGAGAAGAATTGAAAAAACAACTACGAGCTTTCGACATTAAGCCTAACGATGGTTGTGAAGGCGTGAGTCTGCAACAAGTGCTTCAGGAATTTGATAAATATTTTCTGGACTATCAAAACGAAATTTTTGCTTCTTTTAATTTCTTGGAAATAAAACAGGAACAAGGAGAAAAATTTACGGACTTTTATTCTAGGCATCGTAATGCTGTTGTTGAATGCAATTATGGCGAGTTGCAGGACTGCATGCTACGTGATAAAATAATTCAAGGACTATTAGATAAAGCACTTTGGGAAAGATTGATCAGAGAAACCAGTAAAAAGGCCAAAACACTACAGGAAGTAGTGAATGCAAAACCGCTGAGAACATTAAGGAACAAGCATCAGTTATGAATGAAAACTTTTAGTGAATACTTTAAAGAATTTTAAAAATTATCGGAATCAATGCAAGAATAATCAGAAAAATGACGTTAATTGCAAGCAATGTGGAAAAATTCATGAGAAGAAGAAATGTCCGTCATACAATACAAAATGCCGAAATTGTGATAGAAGAAATCACTGGGCAAAAATGTGCTGAACTCAAAGAAATAAACAGAAAAACTTGGCTGCTCGAAGAGTGAATGCTATTAAAGAAAACTGTGAGAATTCTGAGACTATTTACATTGGGGAACTGAAGTCAGTAAATGAACTGGACACGAAAGAATCCAACTGCGTGTGGTATGAAAAATTTTAGTAAATAAAAATGTTGTAATGTTTAAACTGAACTGGATACTGAATCTCAAGTGAATGTAATTCCCAAGTCAGAACTCTTAAATTGGGAAGAAAAGCCAGCAGTAAGAAATTGCAAAACTGCTGTGCTTGACTACAGTGATAACAGAGTTCCAATTCTAGGTGAGTGTTACCTCAACTGTCAAACTAAAAAGTATGGAAAAACTTATAAATTTTTAGTAACAAGCTTAAATTCATGTCCAAATTTAGACCTTGAAGCTTGTAGAGAATTAGGGCTGATTCAGAGATTGAATATGATCTATAAAAGCCCTATTGAAACTCCAGAATTAATTTTGAAAGAACTTGCTGATGTTTTTACTGGTACAGGAAGACTTAAAAGAATTGTAAGAATTAAATTAAAAGAAAACTCTGTTCCTCAAGTAGCAACCCATCGTCGAGTGCCTCTTGCTATACATAACAAAGTTAAAGAAGAATTAAATAATATGGTAGAAGCAGGCATAATAAGCAAAGTTGAAGATCCATCTGAGTGTGTGAGCAACATGGTTGTAATCGACTCACGTAAGATATTAAGGGTTTGTCTTGATCCCAGGCTACAGATTGAAACTATTCAAAGACCTCATTACCCAATCCCTACTGCAGATCCACTCGTTACAAAGCTGCTAGGTGTTAAAGCGTTTACTATTCTAGATGCAAAAAAAAAAAATGGTTTTTAGCAGTTACCATTAGATGAAGAATCTTCATATCTAACCATATTTTGTACACCTTGGGGGTGGTACAGATTTTTAGTATTACCATTTGGCCTGAACTCTGCTCCTGAAGAATTTCAAAAGGTAATGGATGAAATTTATGAAGAAGATGAAGATATAAGTCCTTACTTTGATGATATTGCCCTGGGTTCATCTACTATGAGATGAACCCAGGAGCACTGCAGATAATTACGTGAAAGCAAGAAAGGCCAATTTAAAGTTTAATGAATTGGAAACGCAGCTGTCACAAACTTCAGTTAATTATCAGGGTCATGTTTTGTCAGATGAAGGAATTAAACCAGATCCCAAGAAAATTAGAGCCATTGAAGAGTTTGCAACACCAAACTGCAAAGAATATTTGCAAAGATTTCTCGTTAAGATAACATTTCTAGCAAAATTTACACCATACCTATCAAATTTAACGCATAATCTAAGGTAGCTTTTAAAATATTCTGTGGAGATCTGGAATACAAACACAGAGAGGGATTTTGAGCTTATAAAACAAGCCATCATGAAAGCTCCCTGTTTGTAATATTTTGACAAAAACAAGGAACTGTTTTTGTTGACGCTAGTAAAAATGGACTAGGAGTTGTGCTTCTTCAAGAAGGTCATCCAGAAGCCTATGGATCTGTATCATTAACGCAGACACAATAACTTAAAACTCAAATTGAAAAGGAGCTAATGGCTGTGATATATGAGTTGGAGCATTTAAACTATTATACTTACAGATCACAAGCCAATACTGGGCCTTAGTAAGAAACCATACGATACTATATCTCCTCGTCTTCAACGTATGTTACTTCGACTCAATAAACATAATATTCAGTTGGAATATGTTCCAGAAAAGAACCTAGTTATAACAAATGCCCTATCATGAGCACAATCAATCACTGATAATTTTGATGAAGCTCTAAGCCAGGTGGCAACTGTGAGAATAAATCTGTGAAGAAATTGTGTTTGTAGCTTTAATTTTGGGCACCAGTATACATTAATAATCGATTTTATAAAAATTATATACTGCATAATTATTACTTTCTAATGCCTTTATTTGAATCAGATAATAAAACAAATAAAAAAATATTTAGATATATAAAAATCTTTCTGCTATATATATGTCTAATTATCATCGCCTCATTTAAAAATAGCCATGAAAAAAACTTGCTGTAGGGGAAAAAATAATAATACAAAAAGCTTTAGGTTAAAATTTTTGACTGGAATTATTTTTTAAATTTTCTATTTCTTAATAAAAAAAAAATAGAAAAATGAAAATACACAATATAGATGCATTATAGATCACAAACTGACTTGCATATATTGATAACTTAAAATTCAAAAATATGAAAAGTAACATATCTGTTTATAATTCAAAAAAGAACGTTTTAAAAATTTGTAATTTGAATAAGTTTCAAATAAGAATATTCCAGGAATTTCAATCAAAAATAATGTTTTACACTATCTTATAAGATAAACATTTATGTATTCCGAGTTTATTCTATAACGTAATATTTGCAACCATTAACAAATTAGTGTTTTAGACTTTATTAAAAACAAAACCTTAAATGATTGTCTAATGGATTAAAATATTAGAGAAACTTTAGTTTTTATAATCAGGGCTATTTTTAACCTCCCCGGCGCCTTAGGCACTCATAATTATTACGCCCCCTCCTCCCACTATTTCCAGAGCATCCCCCTCCTTCAGTTCTTGACTAGCTAGTTTTGGTTCGGGACGGATTTTCCCTAAATCTCTTACTCTTTTCCCTTTCTTTATTTTTGTTCTTTAGGGAGTCTTTCCATTATCCATCACCTATGGACCCGCCGTGTCCCAGATTGGCAACCGGAAGCCTTAAAGAACTATAGTGGCATGGTTTGCCCGCTCTTTATTCATTTCTTACCTTACGTCATCAAGAACCACCCACCACCCTTTTGTAAATTAGTACAGCAAATTAATGAAACCATTTACATTTGCAGTATAGAGTATACATTATTGTATGAACTGTTTTCAACTTCTTAATTATCATCTTTTTCATCGCTTAGCTATCTTTTACTTTTCGACATCTTTATTCTTTGTTGAGTCACTGTCATTGTACTAGAACAACAAAAGTTTTCTTCGAGCTTTGGTCATTGTAAAATCGTTGCAATCAATTTCAATAGTCATATTATTTTGAGTGCATAGCAGCATCAAACTCTTAAGCTTTTCATTTTCCATAGTATATCTCATCCACCTTTATATACATTTTGAAATATTCTGACATTTTTGCGCAAACTGTTCTTCGGCGATGCCTTTGGGGTAGCTTACAGCCAAGAATTTCGCTAATTTGTCACATCTTGCTCCTTTTCATGAAGATTTCTGAATATCTAGAATCTTGTGTTGAGAGCTTCGTAGTGGTAGTACATTCGCTGTAATTTTCTATTTTTTTCTCTCTGTTTATAATACAAATGGCTAATTAGTTTTTAGAGTTTTTACAATACCAGCAGAGCAATATCGTAGAGAAGAATAATTCCTTTTTCAATTCCTACTGTAGTTCACACTCTCCCTAAATATTTATATATATCTTGTTGAAATTTTAATAATACTTTCTCATTTCTTACTTAAATAAATCGTTAATAATACTTTCTATTTATCCATTCAAGTTCAAATACATTTTTAAAACTGGTAGTGGATAACACTTGATGTTAATAGTTTTTTCAAATATTAATTCATTAATTGAATTTAATTAATGAATAAATAGTAACAAAAATAATAGTCCAACACCATACATAAAAAAATCGCTCATTGTGTCCCTGTAGCGTGATGGATAGCGCCTCGGACTTTTAATCCAAAGGCCGTGGGTTCTAATACCACCTGGGATGGCCTAATTTCTGAGAATATACTATTTTATTGGAATAATTAAATTAATGAATAAATAGAGTTGCAAACAAAAATAATATTCCAACTATATATATAGAAAAGAAAATGGAAAATCGTTTTCTATTTTGCCACTTAATATTGTAAGTCTATATGTAATTTACATGTTTATATTAATTGTAATTATTTAATAAAAAGTAACTAAAATAAAATATTTCTTTGTTTTGACCTAAGTAAGAATTGACTTAATTTTTTTATATTACTTGTTTTTAATTATGAGGGATTAGAAAAGAAATATAAATGTGCATGTGTGTGGAGGATTTCCACATAATAAATCTCTCACTTGTTTAGTCATTTTAATAAAAGTGAATTATATGAATGTATTTTCAACCACCTTTTCCATTAACATTTCAGAAATTGCAAGATAAAAATTTTATGAAATAAAATTGTGTAGAAATCCTATATTTGTGAAAAAAGTAATTCAGAAAGGTCAAAACTAAAATGTAATATCTATACTGTACTAACTTTTATCTCTTCATACCAAACCTTCTGATTTATAACAAAGAATTATAGATCTGAAATAAATTTTGAATCTCATTAACAATTAGCTATTAATGTCGATAAATATTTTTGTTACAGGATAACATTTTATTAGGTTCTGATTACCCATTTCCTTTAGGAGAACATATTCCTGGGAAATTAATTCAAGATTCAAGGCAATTAAATAAAACTGTAAAGGTTAGTTTGTTTTTTTAAAAAAAATATTTGAAACATTTTAGAATCAAATATAAATCTTATTTCCTTTGTAATAAACTTGTGTGAAGCTCAATTTTAAAACAATTTTCTCTAACAGTCGCTACGCATTTTTAAAAATCTTAATCTTAATGATTGAAATTCACTAAAAGAGATGATCATCATTTTGATATTCATTGATTCACGGGCAACTAAGTTTTTTTTTATCCTACGCCCGTCTTCGGCATCTCTGCTAATAGTCGACGAGCAGCCCAATAAAATGACGAAGCATAAAAAGAATTAAAATTTGTCTCCGTAGAGTTGTCAACAAAAAACTTTAAAACAATAGGGCAGTGTCTGAGGTGGTCACCATCCATTTCACCCTGGTTGCACAGAGGGCACCAAGCAGAATCCTTTACTACAGTGCGATGTAAATGCCTTTGCAAGTAGTCATGTCCAGTAAGCAGACGAAAGCACACAACAGATCCAGGTAGGGAACTATACCACTTTTGTTACGCAAGATATTCCACCTTTTACCTGCAGCTGCTTCACCATACAGGGAGACTATTAATTTGCAGTTTATTGTAAATGATTCTTTTGATGTTACGCAGAGGCAAGGGAGAATCAGGTTGGGACATGAGAGATCCCTCTTTAGCAAGCCTATCTGCTTTCTCATTTCCAGAAATGTTACAGTGGCTGGGAATCCACTGGAGGGCAATGCTTTCTCTAGACTTCCCAAGTTCAGCTAATTTCCTTCTACAGGAATTTACTAGAGCATTTTCATTATATCTTAAGTTTATTAGAGACAAATTGGCAGCTACAGGCCACTAAGTTAAAGCAATTTCTTCAGTCCTGGTTTCAAACAATGGACCTATACTTAGTTGTCAACTTATGATTAATTATATTGAAATATGTTTAACGTGAAAACTCTTAAGACGAAATATTGGTTAACTCGAAATAATACAACAGACCCGACAAACTATTCTATGCTGACCTAGTTGAATCGAACACCTTTTTGGTGTTGTTTCAGGTACGATAATCAAGTCAAATCAGGATTTTGTACAAACTAAACTTTAGAACTCTTACACAAATTATTTTTCAATATTCGTCCTCCAACCAAAATATGCAGCCAAGTTTCGGATGCACTGATTGCCATGACAGATAGCCAGTTGTGGCTTTATTTCAAGATTTTTGCTTGAAATTGGCATCATGAGCCCAAACTTGACAAACTGCTCATTTGATTTATTTTAGATGTAACATCAATTTAAGTAATGAATTTATATTTTTGTGCTTAAACTTTTGACAAAGAAATTCTTACACTTCAATCTAAAATTCTTAAGCTCCATGGTTTCGAATAAAATTTAAAACAGAATTGTGTGCACTATGATTTTAAGACTGCAATTATTTTATTAGCTATGTGTGAATAGAGTGAATTTTCAAAGTTTTATTTTAATTTCTGTTTTTAACTGTGCTTTTTGTATTAGCTAGAAACATTTTTGTTGAATCGTACAATTTCTTTAACATAATTTAAAAATGATACATTGATAAATATAAATTTGTGTCATTTAATAAAATTTAAGCAGGGGTATATTAAAACAATAACATTTTCATGATTTTTTTTCTTGTGTTACAGGAAAAAACTTTAGGACTAAATGCTTTAAACTTTCTAGGCCTGAAATTAAAAGACTTTGTTTGGTAAGTACCGCTCAAATATTAGAATTTCAGTCAAAAACAATATTATTTTATTAAAAGGCATATGTACAGTTTTATTTATAACATATAATACACTATACATTTATGTTTAGAGTATCTTTAAACATAGATAACATCAATGTCTTTTCTTTGAGTAGTGTCTTCAAGATAATGTGTGACATCTTGCTCTTGATAAATGTCAATAATTTTTCTAATTTTTTGTTTCAAGGTTGAAATATTAATATGTTCTTTTGCAGATATGGAAACAATAGCATCAAATTTTATAAGATAATTTGGTCTAATTTCATCAGGGAGCTCTTTAACTTTACCTGCAAAGGAAAAAAAAATCAAAATGTAAAAATGTATCTCATAATGCTGCACATATCTATTATTTTATTATAAAAATAAATATTCTTTTTTTATATAATCACAGTCTTTAACTCTTTTACTTACATTTCTTTGAATCTTGCCTTAATCAATTTTATATTTATGTGTTAGGATTATTGTGAGTTAAATAAAGCATTTAAAGAGAAAAAGTAATAAGAATTATAAACACATATAATACAAAATACGACAAAATAATATGATTCAAACAAATCAAGTATTAGAAACCAAGTTTAGAAACATAACTCAATATATCTGCACTCTGTCTCAAATAATAAGCAACAAACAGAAAAATGGTAATAAAATGAAAACAATTTATTGAAACACAATGAAGTTTTCACAAATTGTTGAACAGAAGAAGTGGCAATACCAAGTAAAACAACAGAAGTAAACAACAGTCAGTTTTCAAATAAGCAGGGGAAAAAAACAATAACTGTACCTAACTTGTGCTAAAAAACATTTAGTTACAAACATTTATGAGTAGGATAAGTGACTACATCTACTGGAGATGCAAACTTGACACTGATGCTTCATACCTGCAAGCAAGTTGTCAAATCATTAACGTTTCAAGGAGAATTATACAAAACAGAGGAAGTCATCTTCTGAACATGTCTCAAACATTCTCTATTTGATTCAAATCGAAAGTAAATGCCAGCCATTCCATTAGAAACAGTGTTTATTGTGTTCCCTGTACAGTTTGACAATGCAAGTTCTATGTGTATTCATGCATTATCATCCATAAACATGGCATCAGGACTATGGCTGCCAGATATAGAAGAACATATGGATTGAGAATTGTAGTCCCATAAATAATTTCTGTTACATAAGATCTGGAGATTAGTTCAGCTGTCCAACTGATATCCCGGCCAAAACCATAACACCAGCATGACTGTAGCTGTTTCTTCAGTAATATTGTGAGCTTGATCGAGTTCCTGGGATTCTCCAGATACATATCCATTGAGAATTGTTATTTATACAAAATTGGGCCCATCATTGATCTATAGATTGGTCCATTGTATCCAATGGATATAATCCAAAGCCCACTTAACTGAACTCTTCTGTGAGACGACGACAATGGCACTCCAAATGATGGCTGTTTAGATAGAGGACTTTCCTTCAACCATCTGCAAATAGTTTATTGGTATATCCATATTCCTGATGATGTCACAACAGAGAGTTGACAGGTTGAACCCATCTAATAAGGATAGGCTTGCAGACACATAAATGGTCCTTGTGGGTGGTTGTAACTATATGGTGTCTGTTACCAAGTCTCTGTGACACTCAATGCTCATTTTGATAAATAAGAAGCTGATTCCACAAGCAACTGATGATCGAACATTTGCATTTAAGCCTCGGACAACCTCCAATGATTATTCCCCAGAATGGAAGAAATGAGCATCAAACAATTGTAGCATCCAAAGAAATGAAAGAAATAGCAACTGCTGAAATGAACCTGTTTTTATATCTATTATTTTACACAGCTCTACAAGTGGTTATGAAATTATTTTACAGCAGAACTGCCTCTGCATTTCTCTGCAAAATACATATCCAAATTTTGTTGCTATAATCTTTCTTCTTCTTGAGTTATGATTGTTTTGCTGTTTGTTGCTTATTCTTTGAGACAGAATGTAATTCTGTATTTACATGGTACATATATTCCTGAAGAATACAAGTAAAAAAAATAATGTATATATGAAAAAATAGAAGATTGATTCCAGTCAGAAGACGTCAGCAAACATAATACAATAAACCATGATTTTTTATGTCAGGTTCTGAAAGGTTTCATTTTATAAAGATTGTACATACATCATGGAAAGTAAATTATCAGTCAGAAAGAGAAAAAAACATATTACTCATATGTTAAACACAAGTCTATAAACTTTTCTATATGCATGTGTAATTTGAATTTCAATGCAAGTGTATTCAATTTTGATGCATGCATTCTTCGATTAGTCTATAATTAACACTTTATTCATAAAAGTTCAGTGTTCAATTTAAAATGACCAACTGGTAGCTAGTTTTTATGAGGCTGATACAGCATCATTAAGGGTCTTTGTTCCTTTGAGCATGTGCTTTCTCTCTTTGAGGAGTAATGTTAATAATATGTACAAGCCTTTTGTTTACTTATCAGCTGGAGATTTGGTCACTAGCTTAATATCTCTTCATGTATCATGCTTAATTTCTTTATTCTTTCATG